GGCCCCCGAGAGTGGCTGTCTCTTCCGTCTGGTCCCAGAGGGAGAAGGCACATGGAACCCAGGGCAGCCAGACCAGCGGAGCCCAGCGGAGCCCGCTTGAGCCGGGGCCCATCTGCCGTCCTCGCGGAACGAGAACTAAGTGGTATTGGAAGCTGCTGAGATTTTAGGCCTGCCTGTCGCTGCAGCAAAAGCTGCCTCGTACATACCTGATCCTCCTCCCCCCCACCCCGTCCCATCCTGCCTCCTGCTTCCTGCTTCCTGCTTCCTGCACTTGGGCTTCTGCCAAAGGCACACGGTGGTGTGTGTCAGATCCCAGGCAGAATCGAACTCCGGCGCAGAGCAAATGGGCCGGGGCAATAGGGGCTTCCCTTCTGATTTCTCCTCGGCTACCGTTCATCGGCCGGAAACATTTCCCGAGCTCCTGCAACGTGCCAGGTGCCGGAACCGCGAGATCCCGCCGGACCCGTCCCTGCCGTCCGGGTGCTCCCAGCGGAAGAGGAGAGTGGCGGGCCGGCAGGACCAGGGCTCTGGCCGACCCGGGCCAAGACAACTGGGGGCTTGGTTTGTGCTGAACGGGGCTGGCCTTGGACCCCGAGCACCGTGTTTGTCTTATTCGTTTCTTTCAACATGCACTGTCCTATAGTGCAGGCCATCCAGCGAGACTGAGGGCCCTCGAGAGCCTTCTTTTTGTGCCAGGAACATTCCCCCCTGAGCTCATTATCCTCCACGCAGCGCCTGCCATGGCATTTCTCTGCCTTGGCTGTGGGTCACATTTTACTCCTTTTGCAGTCCCCGGGGCCATCAGAGTGACAGGCGCGTCACGCCGACTGTCAGCCTTCTCCTGTCCTAACACACTGTTCTCTGACTTCAGACCCTGCTGGTCCTCATTATAAAAGCAAGGCTGGGGATGGGGGTCCCGGCTCTTTCATAGGTTCCTGTGTAAAGGCGCGGCTTTCTTCTCGCTCATTTACCCATGAGTTTCTCAGGCCTTGAGAGCCAGTTATGTCCAGTTGCAAGGGGTGGGGGTGACAAGGGTGGTGAAGATACGGTTCAGCCTGGGATGGGGGGTACGGAGGCCTGGGGAGCCAGGGAGGGTTTCCTGGAGAAGGGGGCACTTGAGCCGGGCCCGGGAGGATGGGTGAGTTGAGCACGCGGAGAGCATTGGAGGCAGAAGGAACGTGGGGGTGACCCTCTGGAAGTGGGGCTCCTGCCTGTCTCACGCCCACCCTTCCTCAAGCGTTCCCTATGGGGAGTGTCAAACTCTGCCGTCGCCCTGGCCCCTCATCTCCTTTCCTGTTGATGTGGCTCTCCATGCCACCGGCACAAGGCAGCTCCTGGATGGGGACGGGACACAGAGACACCTGGTTCATCTTGTTCTTACTGGAGCGCCCTGCCTGTCCCCCGTGGGCTGCCGCGGGGCCGCAACTCGTTCTGCGCAGGCCTGCAAGGTTCGCTCTCAGGACCCCATGTGGGGTCTTCTCCTGGTTCTGGAGAGGAGTTCTTGTCACCGCCGCGGTCAGAACAGCGTGGGGCCCCCAGGTGGGAAATCAGGCGGCTATGATCATAACATTCCTGTTTATCAAGCATCTACTACGTGCCCAGCGCTTTCAGGGCTGCTGCAGCACCCAAAGGCTTTGTTAACTTTGGGAAAGCCTCCTACTCTGAGCATGGAGGATGGCTTCCACTGCAGTCCCACTTAGCCTCAGGTAAGTGTCCTTGTTTGTGCACAGCCTGAACAACTGTGCTTGGCAGCCCTGGGCCCCGTCTAGTCAATATCTCATTTAATCCTCGTAACAGTGCTAGGAGGCAAATACGTTCTGCTTTCACTGCTATTTGACGGTCAAGGAAACTGAGTCTTTGAGAGCCTCAGGAGCTTGCTTAAGGGCACCTAGCCGGCAAGTGTGGGAACCGTTTCAACTCCGGCATCTCTGACTACAGCCCCTGCCGTCTCTTTGCTACACGTCACCATCTCCTGCCGCCGGCCTCCCAGGCCTCTCTTCTGATGGGCTCTTAGCTGATTTTCCAATAATTCTCTCCTGCTGTTCTGGGGCCTGTTATCATTCATTATTGCGTTTTGTAGCTTCATACATTGTTTTATTTTTCACTCCCAGTGGCTCATTGCTTGGGAGCAGCCGAGAACCTGGTGTGCCCTTGCTCTAAATGCATCGTGTCAGATGCAAGTTTATCTCATTTACTATCCGAGTCGGCGGCAGTACCTTGTCGATTCCATTTCGAGCTCATTTCCTCTCTGATGATTTCCATGCAGGTAGTGGTGTATCTTCCAGCCCCTGGGCCAGGCTCCACACACAACTCCTCTGGCTGTGACCCTGGGGACATCAAGTTGCCCTCAGCCCTCAGCAGGAAGCACCTGTGGCATACCTCAGGCGCACCTGTTGTGTTTTTGTTTTTGTTTGTTTGTTTGTTTGTTTGTTTGTTTAAGTCGAGGAGCCTGACTTGGGTCTTGAACTCACAACCCTGAGATCAAGACCTGAGCTGAGATCAAGGGTTGGACGCTCAACCGACTGAGCCACCCAGGCACCCAACACCTGTTCTTTAAGGAGGGAAACCCTATGTCTCGGGGAGGGCTTGGGTTTGGAGACAAAAGATCTGAATTCAAGTCCCCCCTCGCTGCGACTTCCTTGCTGTGTGGTCCCCGGCAAATCATTTAAGGTCCTGAACTTCTTTTTCTTCATCCATGAAATGGAGGCACCATTTTCCTTTCCCAAGGTGGCCACAACATTGAACGCTCCGATGATATCATGAGTTGGTAAGGATGTAGGAATGTGGGGACGTTCACGTAATGCTGGCGGGGTCGCCCCCCGATGCTGGCGCGACCACAACGGACAGCAATTTGGCGACGTTTGTCAAGACTCTAAATGTTCAGGGGCGCCTGGGCGGCTCGGTCAGTTGAGCGTCCAGCTCCTGATTTCAGCTCAGGTCTCGATCCAGGGTTGTGGGATCAAGCCCCAAGTCGGGCTCTGCGTTGAGTGTGGAGCCTGCTTAAGATTCCCTCTCTCTCTCTCTCT